CGACCCGGCGCTGCGGCCAGTCTCGGACCGCTCCGTGCCAAGATAGCACCCGGCTGGAACCAGTTGTTGTTGTTGTTGATGCTGCTGCTGTTGCTGCATCGGCTGCGGTTTCCGAGACAGATGCACAGACGGCCAGTTCCCAGTCATGGCGTGGCGACTTTCGATTCCGGCCTCTGTATCAGTGGCTCCGACGGAGGGTGTCTGACGAGCGGAAGTAGCATCGCAAAAGTGGTGGCCAGCCGAGCCAGCGCCTGTTCTGGTAGGCCGGTCTCTTTCCATGTGCCGCCGCTCCAAGTGCCTCGTCTCGCATAGACGGCCCAAGGGCTGCGCTTCTCCCACAGCCTTGGCAGCAACTGTACTGACTTCGTTGGTTGTCGTGGCTTGCCTATGGATACTGGTGTTATGAGAAATAGCATTTAGTCGCAGAACATTCATGTTTTGTTAGATAAAGCAAAATTAACCATAATCTATCCATTAACAATCTACCTAAGCTTATAAAATTTGGGTTCAGATGAATATCATTCTTATACAAGGCATTCCTGAGTGGTGGTGATGGAATCTACAAAAACGACGTGGAAAGCACTAGCTTGGAGAATAGCAGTTTTCCGCATTCACGTGGGGCCAAGATTACAAAACCGGAGGTATGTATATGAACCGAATCAGGCCATCTAGATGGACCCTGTAAAAAATTTTATTTAGAGGAAATACGTTATGTTGAGAGCTGATTTATAAACCAGGAAGCTGTAAGCGAATTTCAGGTGTCCGCCATATTCGAAAAAGCAGAATTTGATTTTTTTTCAACTCGATATCATATATTTGAAAAGTTTAATATGCATTTTAAAGCATTTTCTTACATTTTCAAGGCGTAACGACCCAGTAAAAGCATCGAAAGGACATCAGTTTGTATCATCCCATGTATTAGGCAAGGGCATTAATATGATAACAGATGAGGCAATATGCGTGATAATCTTCATTTTCATTTGAAGATATGAAGACCAAGATGGTGTGGCCTTTTGTGTGGTCGCAGTCTCCTTTCGTTGTATAAAAGTTG